ACGCTACTCATTAGCTATTGTTACAATGTGAACAAAAAACTCCGTTATTACAGCAAAGAAAGCGCGCCTAGTAGCGAACAAAGAATTGGGAGCTTTTCTAGCCAGGCTCTACCTAACTGGGTAGTGCGATCCCTCGTGCAATGCGCAGAACTGCCGATGAGAGCGAAAAGCCGGCTTCAAGCCTCTCCTAGAAAGGACCGGAATACTTGCGTTGGGTAGAGGGCAGCGAAATTGCAAGTGGCCGCTACGCGGCGTTTGAGCGCTTCGCGCGGATATCCGGCTGCAGATCGTCTAGGTCATGTGATGTCACCGCCCCATGTTCAGCGACGCCATTATGTAAACATAGTGTAGAAAAAACTGTGGTTAAAACTTAAATATTCGATGTTTTTTTGTTATTTCTCATGCTTATTTATCATGTCAAGACACAAACATGTAGCCTGCAAATGTACTTATATTCATGTATACATATTACCTGTGTGGATAATGCATTCACGGTATATGTACATGACTTGCCGTGCGTAGATACATGTATGATGTAGGCCTACATTACATGTAGAGATACATGATTCTACCCGAGCGTGATAAGCCTGGTGATCAGTGTGTACTCGCATGACTCACCTGGTCTACAATAACCCTGGGCTGATCATTCTCATGGCAGCATATTATACATTCAGGTGCCGTACTCATTAATTCACAAACACCACAAGAACACCAGTATTAGTCTACAGTCCTATCGGATACCGAAGCTTCCATTCCGCCATGTTGTGACAGATTCTTGAGTTTGCGCCGACTCTTTGCGTTGCTTTTTTAGACTATTCTCCTCAATTTCTTCCTGTGTATATTCAGGCTCAAACCTATATCCAACTGGTAAATCACTATAAATATCATCATCATCTGAGTAATCACTAGAATCATTGAAATTATCGCCGTCTGTTTCCATCTTATACACAACACTGAACGTGCGTTAGCGTGGCGTCGCTGAACATGGGGCGGTGACGTCACATGACCTAGATGACTATTCACTTATTTCTATTGTGTTTATTACTAATTGGGTGCCAGATTTGAAATTGAATACGTTATTGAATGTATTTCTATGTATAAAAACGTTACAGAAGTTATGAAATTTGACTTCAATTGTCCTTTAACTACAATACATTGACCACTCAATGAGCACTCAAAATTTGCACTATTTTTCTGATGGCATACTCAACCCAACTAAATACATTTACTGTAGTGTTAGAGTATTCAATAATAACAGTTGTGCACTTTCTTTACAAAAAACGTGAAATGTACATGTATAATTGTTACAATGCAACAATCCTGTCAACCTCACACATTGGATTAGTTTCATTATTTTAGTAACAAGTACTTGTCACACTGCAAAAGTGCATATTCATATATTTCAAAGAATGTAGCTAAAGCTGATGTTTTGACTAAAGTATCTAAAATATATATTATGAGTATGATAACTAATAAAACATTTACAAAATTGTATATACTATCATTACATAATTATAAAAAAACAAGCCTATTTTCAATCTGCATTTATACTTTCACTATGTACATCTGTATGTTTTGAAGTTTGAATTTGAATAGGCACATTGTCATATTAAAATTTAAATACACATTTCAAATCTTAGAGCACTGATATAACACCTCTAATTGATCAGTATTAATAGTAATACCAGACAGTCCAGTCAGATAACTTGTTGATAATTTTATTTTTTTATTCCAATTTTATCTTTTCTGCCTGGATGTCAACTTACAAATTCTGAAATTACATTTTGTTCATCTACCTTGTCTAACATGTCTTGGTGCACATGCATGACCATTGCATTGTTGAGCCTTAACTGGGTCGTGCTGGGTCGGAGGGGGGGGGGCACTCCATATATATTGCATGGTAGGTATGTGCCGCGGGAGAGACCCTCCTTTTCAACCCTAACCCTAAACTTCCGTTCCAGTGCATCGCATTTTTAAGAATATCTCGTTCCAGAGCATTAAGTTTAGTTACCATGCAGATCTTACATTTTTGCCGTTCCGGAGACCCTAGTTTTTAATATTTTCGTTCCAGTGCATCGTACTTCAGAATACGTTGAAGCCGGGCCGTCAAGGCATGCATGCAACGTGTGTGTTGTATGTGTGCGCTGTGTGTGTGTGTGTGTGCGTGTGCGTGCGTGCGTTCATCTCTCTCCGGGTTATAATTTTTCTCCTCTACATAATACAACAATTATTTGTTCAAGTGCTACAGCATAGATTTTAAAGCAAATCACTGTTCCCCCCACAGTTCCGGAGACCCCTTCTTTTAAACATGTCCAGTGTCATAGCATTGAATTTCAATGAAACCCTAGTTCCGAAGACCCCCATTTTCGAACATAGCCAGTTCCAGAGCATACCACATTCAACAAACATTAGTTCCAGAGACCCCCATTTTCAGGTCTGAGTTAGTCCCAGAGCCCCCCCATTTTTGACTTTGCAGTGGCACATAACTACCATAATGTGGGGTGAGTGCCCCCCGGGGTTTCATCTCCTTGGTATATCATAATATGTTGCTCCTTGGTTCCCTGCAAATTTTTTTTTCTTCAAAATAGTGCCACGGCAGTGCCGTGCTGCCGTGGCGGCCACTATGGCCCTGGTAACAATCAGTGCATTCGCGCCCCCCTCCCCCCCCGTACTTCAATCAATGCCGCCCCAGCCAGCAAGCACAAGCCACGATGTGCACAGCCACGGACGTGGGTAACAGGGGTGTCGCGGGCTGCTTTTTTCGTTTTTTTTCTTTGGCGTGCATGCGTGAGAATGCGTAGGCCATGCGGGAGCGCGGGAGAATGGGTCCAGATGCGTGAGTCTCCCGCGAAATGCGCAGCGTGAGACTTAGTAGGTCTGCTAACAGAGTAAGATTTAAACTAAAGGGTGAAATTTTATTTTCGGGGTGCATCAAATGCAGTCTAAGACATTCAAATGTTTTAAATTTTGCTGGGGGAGACTCCCAGAACCCCCTCTACCTCTCTAGCTCCCCTGCGTCTGCCTGCAGAATCCACATTCGTGCCTACTGCACGCCTTTGAATCCATCATGTGCGTTTTTCCCCAAACTGGGAATTACCACCGTTGTCTAATTTTCCCTCAGAAGAAACCCTGGTGTGTAAGAAAGGCCTGTCTCCACACACGGCACGGCAACGGCGCTGGCAAAAGTCAAATGATTTTTACTACACGTCTGCGTGCACGTGTGTGTGTGTGCATGTCCATGCGTGTAGGTGTGTGTTTGTGTGTGTACTGTGTGTGAGGTACTGTAAAAAGTAGTAAAACTGATAAGTACTAACTGGGGAATATAGTCAGCTTTGATGAGCAGCTAATTTTTCTGCCTCAATAGCATCCCGAAGTTACAAAAGTAGTAGAGTATATATATGCATGTGCTGTGAAAACTCTTCTGTGAACTATTAGTATTACTGTAAATAACTATAGTGTGTGTGTATAGTACTGTCTATACTGTACTGCGCGCGTGCGTGTGTGCGTGCGTACGTGCGCGTGCGTGCGTATTGTGCGTCAGGTACTGTAAAAAGTAGATGTTTGTGACTCTACCATCCACAACAGTTGATGTGGAGAGGGGTTTTAGCAGACATAATTTGGTTAAAACAGCTCTGAGAAATAACCTGAAAACAGAAAGTGTTTGTGACATTCTAACCATCAAAATTGAAGG